CAGCAACTTGGAGTTTAGAGATTTGCCCGGCATAGTGAAGGGTTAAATGACTTTACTAGGACCATACAGGCAGTATGTATGAAGCCCAGGTATACCTTCTGACGTCCGATTTTTACCTACTACATCATGCTCTTTATCTAAAACATGAAAAAAGAATTATAACACGTTTATAATTATAATAGTAATAGCTAATATGTACACAGTGCTTTGAGATTTGCAAAGTGCTTTCCATATATTTTCTCATTTGATCCAAATTATAACAGTAACAGAACAGCATTCAATTTAATAAATTTTGTGTTGTTCCCAACTTATATCATGACATTCGTGTTCATTATCAGTTTTATGTGATTTATTTATATTTATTGTTATATTATTAAATAAATTTGATAATGACTATACTTGAGAAATGTTTTTGTATTAAAAAAAGCCTTTCTTCCTTCCAAATTATGGCCTGCCAGGTGGGGATTTTAGAAATACATTTTTTAAAAATCCACAAAGAGATGGAAAGCCATAAGAAAACTGGTAACAGGCAACACCTTTTTTTGTTGCTTTCTAGCACTCATGCTTATGCAAAATCCCTCTGTAACAATAGTTTTTTTGTTGTCTTATTAATGAACATTAAACTACATGCAGCTGAGTATTGATATTGGCTTATTTATGAAAGGACTGTGTGGTCTTTAACATGCAGACTTCTATGAAACTCAACAAAAAAGTGAGGAAGAAAGTAATTAGATAAAACCTTATCACTACTCCTGGGAAAAGAGCTCAGATCTAAAAATAGTGGGCCAGTAGCTTCTTATTTGAACAGTTATAATTCATGTGCCTTACAAATGAAGCTCTAATTTTCTTAAAGTATTAATAAAAATAATTACTTAGTGTTCTAAGCTTTTTACAATTCTTAAATACTCTATTTCAAAGTAAGGTAACATAAGTAAATAATTGATTCCAAATTTGAGAACTATGTTGAGGATACATGGAGGCCTTTATGTAATTTATGGAATGAGATAAGTTGTTATTGAATTTATGATTTTTATAGTTCCCATTTATTAGGGTGCTTTATTCTAAGTGATAGAAGTTTTCTCCATTTTTTTTTTTGGAATCTACATAGACTTTAAAAATAAGAGTTATTTTGTTTTAGCTTGACATTCCAATATGGGGGAGGTAGTGTGGTATAATAGAAAGAGCTTTGAATCTGAGGTCAGAAGACAAGGTGCTACAACTAGCTGGATTTGCAACTACAGATAAATTACTGGCCCTTCTTGAGTGCCAGTCCTCCAATGTAAAATGAGAGGGGTGAACTTGAGAATCTTCAAGGTGCCATTGACTTAAAGATTCAGAGATCTCATGAATACATTTTTGGTTTTAATGTATTCACATTGAAGCTGTCCAGGATAGATTTTTCAAAATGTCTTAAAAAGAAAAGCAACTCTCACCCTAACTTCAAAAGATGAATTACAATAACAGCAAGTAAGTGTTTACAAATGTGTCAGTTATGCAAATTCAGTATATGGCAGGGAACATATTGTTTTTCTGCACAAAAACTTGCGTTTAGTAATATTTCCTCCTCTATCATAACAATGCTTTCAATGACCTCTCAGAATCATTTGCTAACTGATTTCACATTATATTACAATCCTCCATGCCTTCCCCTAAATTAAATTAATTATTTTAATTGTTCCTTTCAACCTTTTCTACATCCTTTTATGCTGTTTGCCTTCTTATTGCCAATGTAAATGTTATGTGTTTTAAAAATTTTGGCCAAAGGAATGACTCTCATTTAGCTCGTTACTTCCTGGGTTCATCAGTAGATATGGCTTTGTTTTCATTAGAGACTAAAGCAGTGTGTGTGTGTGTGTGTGTGTGTGTGTGTGTGTGTGTGTGTGTGTGTGTGTGTGTGTGTGTGTGTATGTGTTGTGTTAGGGTTATAGATGTTAAGGAAGCTTTCTGACAGATCTCTTTTCAGTTGCCACACTGTCAACTTTTCCTAACTATTCTTTGCAGAACCATCATCATAGAAGTTCATGAAGAATTTCTCACTGACAGCATTCTTGAGATGCATATAATATATCTCTGTGTGTTTACTTCCTTTATTTAGCTTTATGTACCATGGAGTATGACATGAGAGTGGTTGAACCATTAGAACCAGGTATATGTAGCACATTTTAAAATATTACTGATTATACAATGTATTTCCAGATTGAAAGGAAACACATTGTTTTAAATTGGTCATTAGGGGCATCCTTACTGAGGCAAGAAGAGAGGAACTCATTCTCCACTTAATCTTTCAGTTTCCATTAATGATGTTATTTAAGTTCATAACTGATACTATACTTTTTTCAGGATAATCTTTAGGATCTAATTTTTCAATAACAATGTCTTGAGTTTTTAGCATTTTGAATGAAATAAGTGCCTTTAATAATTGTCTTAATCAGCATTCATACAGCAGGCAGATAGATACCTGCTGGGCATCCCAAGTTTGGCCCTTTTGTTATATGTTCTCAGGTCAGCATGCAAAGCAGGTTCTGGGATTTATTAGGACACTACCCACTAGCCAAAATACCACATACTGGGTACTTGGCATTCTAACCAGGCTTGCGGCTTATGACGTACTCTACCTCTGAAAGGTTGATCCTTCGAAGACTGCCATCATGTTAGGCAATCATTTTTTTTCTATCATTACATTATTGGGAGAGACTATGGAAAAGTCTTCGAATTTTTCAGCCTTCCTTATCATTTGACATTGTCATTGGCAGACAAAACACCCTTGTTCACCAGAGCAAACCAAGTATAGAGGTGTCTGAAGTTATATGAATTTTTCAGAATCCATTGGGCACATCACTGTGGCAGTCAGTGGTACATGAAATATGTATGGGAGTATTACTCAAGATTGAAAGAGAGCAGAGATTTTTGCCATTCTTAAGTGCTATAGATTGCAATTTTGAAGCAGTTTTGAAAAACAAAAGCCGGTAAGACTTGGGGAATGAACATTTTTCATGAAAAGCTTATTCAGAACTGTGCCCCAAAGCTGTCCACAATAGTCTAGGATCAATACTGCAATGCCACACATTCTACAAGACTTTAAAAGCAGGAGGTTGCAGGTCTACTCAAAAGGGGTGGGTGTTTGTTGAACCAAATATCAGGACTGCTCTGTGGCTAAAGCAGTAGTTTTAATGAATAGCAAAACAGCAAGTGGAGTATATTTTCTTCCATATAATAAATCATGTTGTTTTTAAAACAGATTGCACATAGCATTTAAAGCTGAGCAACTAAGCTTGCCAATATTGAGAGCTAATGCTTCAGCACCTTTCATTTTTCACTGTGAGCAGGAAACCTCTTCTTAAGCTCATTCATTTTCCAGAGGGAAAATCGAAGACAGTGGCATATTGTCAGAGCTGCTTTATTGTCATCATTTACAAAGGTCACCTGAATTAATTGACTTCTTACCTTACCCAGTATAAAGTGACTCGCTTTTTGACACATTTATGGGAAAGTGGCCGTCTTTGAGAGGAAACTGTCCCTTAGGTTTTCCTTATGTTGCAAAGGAATACAAATCCTGAAATTTCAATTTTAGAAACAAACTATTTCTTTTCTATAAATCATTTTCCTTTGGCTGTTTAGTGGATTGAATGTAACGGGTGGGTGAGGGGATGGGAGAGTTGAAGAAGAGCTCCAGGAAGCCAAATTTCAATGCCTAGCTTATTGTTAATGTCTATAGCAGATCCATTAAAGGAGTAGTGAGTGTTTCTACAAGATCCTAAATTTGTCCTGTCTTTTTGAAAACATGCATTAAGTAGCCAGGTGCCCTTTGCAGGGTTTTAAAAGTATCAATTAACCAAGCTCTGTATTTCATGAATCATTCTTACAGAGCTGTTGACAGACTTGACTGAGCACCGTTTTGGTCTCAGGGGCATTGCTTCTGAAATTAGAGAGGGTAAATAGAACACACAAAGTAATGCTTATAGCTAGCTACCTCAGTGTTTTGCGTATTCGGAGTGGTGATTTTTGAATACTCACTTCTTCCTTTCCTCCTACACTCCATCTCGTTTTCCTCACCCTCACCACTGTTCCCACCCCCCAACCCCCCCAAAAAAAGAAGGTTGTGTTTTACTCCTACAACCTGGCTCTGAAAAAAAAAAAAGCAGGTTGGTTTTGTTTCAGATAAGTACATTAGAATAGAAATGAGCCCTCCAGCTTGGTTTAAACCAAGGGAATATAATAACAGTTGTTGAAACAGTCTTCTCAAATAGGAAATGTATCAGAGAGCCAACCTGCTGTGACCCTGTTAATTACCAAAGAAAATGAGAACTCTTCTGGTCCGTGGTACCCTTTCTACCTAGGCTGTACACTTCCAGCTGCATTAGCAATCAGACATTCTCACTGTCCCTTCTGACTGTTAAGGAGATGTTATTAAAGGAAAATCATTTACCACAATCCTTAAGATGTAGCCTGGCAGAAATTCAATAACTGATTGTGATATGCTCATTCAGCCTCTGTGCTCAGTGGTTTTGGGTCCTGCCATATAACAGCATTTGCCTTAATCCACCTATGGTGTGTTTGTGTGTGGGGGGAGTAGTGGGGGTTCCGTTCCGTTTTTGTTGTTGTTGTTATTGTTGTTTTACAGACAGTGTCGGTGTAGTTTGCTTATTACATTAAGTACATGAAAAGAAAAAAAAATTCTTTCTTCCCCTTATCATCGCCTCACCCTTTTTCCCTCTCATATCCTTTGATGGGCTTTCAAGCTTGTATAATGCATGTTAGAGAATTCCACAAGCACCACTAGACATAAAAGGGGGAGGGGGAAAGGAAGTGTTTAATTTTTATTTTTCTCTTAAAGTAAAATTTGGGGTTAAAGCCTATTAAGCTGCAGCCAAAAAGAAAATCCAACAGGAGGTTTGAAGTACAAACCCAATCCCCAAATGAAGGATAAACAGCACAATATTAATACATATATATCTTTTTTTTTAAAGCAAAGCAAAACAAAACAAAAAAAAAAAACTTACCCTGCAAATGCAGTTTCTGGGTACCGGATGACTTCTTGTGTCTCTGGACTGTGGATTCCTTAGTTCCTTAGGTGTGATAATCACAGAGTTGCAGTCTTCCCTGGGTGTGAAAAGGTGCATATGCATATGTGTAGACAGAGCATAAACAAATAGACACTGCATGCATAGACATGTATCTATAGTCCTATCTGTATATCCTACAACATGAGGGAAAGAAGCAGCCTGCACTTGAGATCCCGGGTTTTTGCCAGCCGCTCTCTTTGCCTCTGTCAGACTGGCGGATGCTTGCCATCCAGGAAAGAGAAACGCTGCTAGCTCCTTTTACTTCCCCTTGTTTCCATGGTGGTTAGTGGTGCATCGTTCACCAGATCAGTTGTCACACTGACATGGTGCTGCCTGCTCAGCGGTCATTAATAACTGAACACCCTCCACTCCCTAGAGAGGAGCCAATCGCTTCAGAGTGCCAAGATGTAGCACTCGCAGCTGCTCGAATCTGGTTGGCTGCAGCAACCTGTCTGTTATATGACACTGCTGCTTAGGGCACAAATAAATGAAACCGGCTCACATATTTTTTTTTTCCTGGGTATCATTTGCCTTCTTCTCCTTTTTGCATGAGGGCTTTGGGGTAAGTTTTCTATCGAAAAAAAAAACAAGTTTTCAGACACTGAGACACTGTGGATTCTAGTTCTGAAATAAGAAAACCGTATTTACCAAGATTCCCAAACAGAAAGGACACTTCATAGGTACAACACCTGAGCACTTCTCTGAAGTTCAACAAAGAATGATCTGATTCAACATAAACAGCTTGAAGCTGTGCTGGGTGGCATTTGGTTCTTTACTTATTCTACTTAATGTAGCACAGGTATTTTCTTGTCAGTGCTGTGTTTTGTTTTAAACAGTGCCCTTTCCTATATAGGTTGACTGAGTAACATAATCTACTGTATGTCACTGGCATATATTAAGGAAGAAGATATTTTTAAAACCTTGATTTCTAATTGTATATGTCCTATTCTGCCTCTCTGGTATAACGAACCTATCAACTGTAACTGTGTATATGTGTGTGTGTGTGTGTGTGTGTGTGTGTGTAGAAAGGCAAATATTATAAATCATATGTACACATATGCATATATAGTTATGTCTATGAATTTATTTTATGGATAGTGGAAAATCTAGTAGATTATAAAAGTGCCTTTAAATTTCAGGAAAGTTCACAAAACAGATGATTTCTCATTTGGAGGGCAAAAATATATGAAGGTTTAACACTACATTTTTTCTGACATTTCCTGAAAACAGACAATAATAATTGGAATATATTTTAAAAATAGTTTTGTTTTGTCAGAAAAACATCTTGTAAAGAAAAATAGAATGTGAAAATCAGTTTATCAACAGGTTAAAATCAGGCTGAATTCATAATCCTAGCCCTAGTTTAGGAAAGCCACCCTCTAGTGGACTAGAAAGGAAAAAAAACAAAAACAAAAACAAAAACAAAAAATTGACATTTCCCTCCAGATTTATTTTAAGAAAGCATTTGTGACTTATAATAGACTGAGCATTAGTTCGCTGTGGTTTTGTAAAGCTGAAAAAAATCACAAAACACGTTTATTTAAAAATACTTATACCATATATGTATATAATATAAAGCAAATCTTACAAAAGTTCTCATTTGTATACGAAGTCATGAAAATCATGCATATAATTTCAGATTATCCAGCCTTTGACTAAAAATGATCTTGCTGTGAAAGAAATCATTATATCGCTTACTGTCACATATACTAGGACATTATAGTTCAGTAGTTTCCTTTTCCAGTCACTTTCGTTGTTACTCAGAAAAATGAACAAAGCTTTGAAAAATGTTGACCTGTAGGTAGTTTAGCACTGCATCCATGTGGAGTGGATGATATTTTTTCTTCATATACTATCATCTACTATCCCTTTATATACTATCTGATGCTGGTGGTTTCACCTCCGTGCTTTTTTTTTCCTTCTATGTAATTGAGGTAATATGATGTACTGGAAAGAATAGTGGATTTGAGAGTCAAAGGACCCCTGATTTAAATTGTAACTCCATTGCCAGGGAGAACTTTTACCAGTCACTTAACATCTATGGACCTTAGTTTCCTTACCTGTAAAAAGAAAGGATTTGGATTTAAAATGGTGATCTATAAGGTTATTTTTTACTCTTAGTCCTAGGACTAAACCTATATCCTATAAAAGAATCAGGTTCAGTGGTGGAAAGTGATAATATAATTTGGTAAACAACTTTTATTTTATATCAGTGGTGCTTAGTGATTTAATTTTAGTTGATTGGTATTGCATATATAATTGATGAACCCAACAATTAGACAAACTGTCATATACTTACATAATTCTAGTAAGTTGTTTTAATCAAAGGGATATATGATTTATTCTTGATTTATAGATGAAACTAACAAATATATTTGATATTTAAACTTGAACATATGTTCCAAAAATTAAAGAGAAATATTTTAATCAGTAGTTTCATTCATATCAAGGAGTATTTTATATATGTTATTTCCCAGGAAGTCATTTTAACTTAGTTTTTAAATTACAGGTGAAGATTAAAATTATTTATAATCTTTCCTTCTGTTGTCTGATTGCAGATTTTGCAAGTGAACACTTAAAAATATTCATCAAAAACTTAATATGATTTGTAATAACATTTAGCAAATCTATCCTGATATGTTACCTATGACATTAGGAGATAATTATCGATAGATTAATAGATAAAATAATCACCTAAAGTCTGGAAAATTTAAAAAAAATATTCTTTATCTGGTTGTCCTTTGGCAGTAGCATTTATATTACATATTATTAGAATTCATGGCTATCTTATCAAATGACTTTGCAACAGTAGGTTGGTTTAACCATTAGGGAAAAAAAAAGCAATAAATGTACTCTCTGTTCCCTCTTTTTGTGGATATTTAGATACTACCTTTGTGAATATGGTATTGCTTGAAGTGGATTATTTGAAAATATAACTAATGAATGTGTCTCCTGAATTTTCTGCTTTTCATTAGCCAATACACATCAGCATACACCTATCATGGGACTTTGGGAACTACAGGGTGAGTGAAGCTACTTTTCTCTGCATTTCATGGGACCATGAGTCTTCATCATCACTTTGACAATTTTCAGCTATCTATCAAGTACCTAACCTCCACACCTCCATTCCATTCCTATCTCTTTTTCTGAAAATTATAATTAAGTCATTATCTGGAAAGGGTTTGTCAATAGATTACTCTTTTGTTCCATTTCCCTGTCCACAGATCTCCTACATATGTTGTCTCCTTCATTAGAATGTAATCTCCTTGAGATCAGGGACTGTCTTTTTTCATTTTTTAATTTGTATCAGTAGTGCTCAATACAGTGCTTGCAACACACCAAGCACTTCACAAATCTATTTATTCATTCATTCATACATTCATTCCTGAGCCAGAGAAGATATTCTGGTAGTAGAAATAAAAGGTGCTCGCAATCTCAGAGGATATGAAAATATGTAGTGTTAATTGAATGTAGTTAAAACTAAGAATTAAAGTCACACTGCTTTTTCATAACCCAGACAATTTTCCTGTACTATAACTTGCAGCACAGGTACCTTTTTCCATAGGTAAACTTTTTTTCATTGGTAATTTGGTATACCAATGAAATATCAATGTTTATGTAATTATGATTATTAATAATATTAATAATTAGTATTTATATAGCACTTTAAGAATTGCAGAGTGCTTTACAATAAAGGTCTAAATTTAAAAAAAATTCCTTGCATGTAAGGTTTGTTATATTTTTGTGTTTGTATCTCCAGAGCTTAACACTATGTTTAGTTTATATCGGATACATAATAAAAAGCATCTTCACTGATTATTGACTTGATTAGATTATAGTGACTTCCTATCAGTAATGATATTTAAAGTAAGTCTGTATGATTATTTTCAAGAATGCTGTGAAGATGACTTAAGATACTTTCCAAATCTGAGATTCCATAACTTTATTTCCACTTCTTTTATGGCCCATCACATTATAATTTATATTATAATTTTTGATTACTTATCTTTTGTATCCTATTTGGTCATTAACATTTTAAAGTTAATGGATATATGGCTTATTCATCTTAAAATTTTAACTGGGACTTTACACATGTGCTTTACACATAATAGGTTCTTAAGATGTTTGTGGAATTGAATTTGATGTTAAAAACTCTATATTAAACAGATAATTGTTGAATGAATGATTTATGAATTGCTGAATCAATTGATTTGAGATATAGTCAGCAAGAAGGATTTCAGTAACTATTCTGGGGGAAAAGAGTGAATGTAATGCACAAGACAGTCAACGCTCTTGTATAGTTACAGTTGTTCAGTCTGTTGATGACAGAATTTTGTTGCTTGCACTGTTTGAAAAATAGAGCTCTGAAGGAATGCAGTGCTGACTTGGAAAGACAAGTTGATGTGCTGAGAAAGCTAAATAAATATGAGTGGGCCATGCATGATAGATGGCCGACATGTAGTAAAAAGTTACTGATCTGCTTAGTGAATTGCATAGTGGTTCTGCTATTTGATTATTCCTTGGAAATATGACTGCAGGAATGAGTAGTATGGTTGTATGATAATGGGCTAAGTTGATAGAATGTAGCAGTTCATTAGGATCATGGAATTAAAGAAGACAACAAGATCTTTGGATCAAAGTCTTACCAGTGAGGAAGTATACATGGCTTAAATGTAGAAGCATAAACATTTCAACCTTTTGCTTTGATGAAAAAATCACAATTTACCCTCTTAAAATCTACCTCCACTGTTAGAGTAGGTGCAAAGCCAGATAGCTATTGACTCAAAGCCAGACACTTCATTTATTTGTGTATTAATTCAACAAATAATTATTGAGTTCTTTCAATTTGTAAGGCCCTTTCAAACAATGTAGTCTCATAAACTTAGGTATATGTGGCAAAGGCATCTGGTTTTTTCTTGAGTTCTTCAATATGTGCACTCTTTACTCTGCTTTAGAAATATAAGTTTGATAAACCATTCAACCAACAAACATTTATTCAGTCAATTCTCCTTTTAAGACGTTGTGCTAAGGGAGGTAATGTCAAAAGAGAAATAGACACTGACCTCAAGGAGCTTATGATCTAACTATGGGAGACAAGATGCCATATATAACAGTATGTACAAATATGAGTCAGCGAGGTGGTGCCATAGTGCAAAGAGTATCGGGCCTGGAGTCAGTAAAACCTGGGTTCAAAACTGGCCTCAGATACTAACTACTTGTGTGATCCTGGAAAAGTCACTTAATCTCTGTTTGCCCTAGTTTCCTCATCTGTAAAATGACAGTAATAAGAGCACCTACCCCTTAGGGTTGTTATGAGGATGAAATAAAGCT